ACGTCATGTTCGTCTATTAAAAATTCAGGTGTCTGTTGCCTGTGTTTTGAACGTTACGTTTGTAGTTTGGTTTTCTTGTGTCCAGGTTTTTCATTTTAACCCTTTGCACTCGAGAGGTGACACTCAGTCACCATTTGATTTGATGTAATAAAATTACAAAGTGTTATATATAATATTAAGTTTTGTATAGTACATCAATATGTGAAATATTTATATAAAATAGCTTTGTTTCTTAATTTACCTGTGTTTTCTCATTAGTTCATTTCAAACAATGTCATCTGTGTCTCATCGGAAAGTATCGAATGTTTTTAGTGAAAAGCTTCCGAGTGCAGAGGGTTAAGTGGCTTTGCTTCTGAAATTAGGGTTGGGTTACATTTTAATTTTTGTGTTGAAGGTGTTTTTCTCCTCGCTGTGCGTAAATTGAGTTTGGGGTTGAGTTTCAGTTTTTATCTTTCGCCTGTAGGTAGTGAGTCTGCGCTTCTGTTTAAGCTTTTACTCGTCTCGGTACACGTTCTAATGCCACGTGTACGTTTCTCGGTCTTTGTTTCTTGGTTTTGAGCGTCAACTATTTTTCTTGCTGAATCAACTAACTTGGTATCGTTAGTAGATTTATTTTCTATTGTTCTTCTTTCCTTCATTTTTCGCATTCACTTCACGTGTTAGCTGATTCGGATGTGGGTGTGCGCACCACGTGGCCGCATGACCTCTTAACTATGCTGCCTGTTCGTCTCTTCCTTTCCTTTTTTTATTTTTGATCAGAAGCTTGATACTGTGATTGATCTTGTCATATTATTGGTGAATTATTTGTAAAGAGGCCATTTTAGGGTCCTTCGCTTTTTCAATTTATTTTCCTATGTTTCATTTCTGTGTTTTGCAACGACAGCCCTTATTTCTTTTAATTTCTTGCTGAATTAATGGTTGTCTTGTTCTTTGCCATATTGTACGTAGTCTGTTATTTTCTGCCATCTTATGTATTATGTGATCTGGTAGCTTTTCCTGTGTTACTTTGGCTGTTTTGATTGGGATAGTTTTGTCTATTATTTTTTGGATATTGGTAGTAAGTCTTTGTACCTCTATGTCTAATTGTTTTTCTGAGATTGTCAGAACGTTGTCTGAAAAATTAAGTACATAAATCGAATAAAATGTAACTAAACAATATACGAGGTAAAAACTATGTCGCTGCATGCTTCATCTCGATCCTCCCAGGAAACATAGTAGCTAAGCCTCTGTGTCTCCGAAATTCGGTAAACATGAAAAACCATCTCTATGCCGAAAGGAAATCCGACGACAATGTTCGTACATCTCACTTCATTGCATTTCGTTTGTGAAATTGAGGCGTCACTGCTGCCATATCTAGCAGACTGAGCGCTTTGAGTGGACATCCTCCCTTGCTCCTGTGCACTTTTAGCTTAGCGATCTCTACTATGGAGAAAAGAGGTGAATACTAAATACATATTAGGGATACCCATAAGCAATGTCGTACGGTCTGACGTTTGCCGTTGAATCAATATTGCAAACTTTGTGTGAATCAAATTGATGATCTATTAATGCTAAAGTGTTCTTAACCGTTTGAGTCCTACGTGCCGCTTTTGCATTCCTCAGATTTCACATCGAAAAAACCCAGCGCCTTTGAACGATACGGACAACTGACGACGCACTCACAGTCTGACGAAACTCGCTCAACTTTTCAGACACATGTACGTCGCATCGCTACTTTTTTGTATATAAGTATCTAAGTAATACATTTTGTATTTCGTTGTTACCTATTATAAATTAATATATACATTTACTATTATAATAGGCGCTATTGCGCTGTTCAGCTTTTTTCGATCGTGATTTTTAAAAACCTCTGGTACTCAAACAGTTAAAAACTGTTCTCATAAGCTGCTTAAGTATACTGGCAGATTCAATATCATTTAAAAAGAATGAGTACCGATAAAATGACGAAGGAGCATATCCAACATTGCATGCTTTATGAATTTCACAAAGGAAATAATGCTGTCGTTGTAATAATTAATATTCATAGTGCTTATCTCGAAGTCCTAAGTGTCCGGAAATGTCAACGATGGTTCATAAAATTTTAAAATAGGGACCTTCGTCTATAAGAAGATGAGAGATCGGGAAGTTCGTCTCTTCTTAAAGACGACGAATTGAGGGCTACAGTTGAAAAAGATTCACGTTTGACAGTTGGAGAGATTACAAAAATGCTTGGTGTATTGTGGTCTACAGTTCAAAGACACCTTTACAAAATTGGAAATGCCAGACTGTTACTCTTTATTAAGAACAACTAATATGCTTAAATAGTGTAATTGCAAAAAAATATCTTGCTTTGGTTAATTGCAGTTAACTTGGCCATACTGTAGCATAATAATGCAATTAGTCCCATCAGATTTTAATTTATTTAGATCTCTACAGTATTTTTTAGTTAGTAAAAAGTTTCCCAATTACGAAGATGTCAAAAATGGAATACACAAGATTTTAATGAAAAATCAACAGATAAATTATGGCGACTATCTCGTTCACTGTGTTTCATGTACGATTTAAAAAATGTAAATAAACATTAGTTTCAAGAAACGACATTACTCATAAGTACACCTAATATTTTGACATTAATCATTTACTAGGAGCAAAGGAAAATTCCACGTTCATCTATATTTACGTTTATTTAAAAGTGTAACAATTAATAAGAAAAATATAATATTTAATTTGAACTCAAGAGAATTGAGATTCAATTAACTTTGTTAATTTCAGTTTGAGATCTTCATCACGAGTCTGACACAACATTGTATGGTAAGGAATTACGGCATGATTCTTTAGCAACTTAGGAGGTAACGTGTTCGCGATTTTTCTTTGTAGTAAAATAACTGAGACACAAGTTGCTAAAGGTATAGTTTTACAAAATCTGACTGTTTTATTAGAGCTACATAATCTTTTTTTATAGTGGAATTTTGTAGGGTGGGTGGGGGTCTCCATATCTTTGGTTGGTTATACCAGCTTGACGGCGAGTCGTCCGGTACATCTGGAGATGTCGCTGTTCATCGTACGCCTGATAGTCTTGTCGAGGAATTGTATGTACCTAGAAATTTGTTGAGCCTCGATGATACTGGCATGGAGTTGCACCCTTCTGGTGTTTTAATTTTTGAGTTTGTCTATGGTTTCTTTTGTAGGATGCAAAGGGATGAAGGAGCGAGCATGCCGGTGAATTTCGAAGTTTTCATACTTTTGTTGCAATTATAATAATATATTCACGAATAATGAAACATTTGCCTTGGTTATGTTATTTATTATTTTTATCCATTTTGACCATTTTATGAATAAACAAAGTTACAGTGTATTTGGTTAAAATTTTCATAAAATTTTTTTTCAGTAACGATTTCAATAATTATTAGGTTGGTAAAAAATTAATGTTGATTTTCGAGTTGTCGAACTTTGACGCTTGGTTTTGAGATAACAATTCACTTCATTCTGTTTACCTTATAATATAATTTTACAGTGTAGATGTCATTCTACACGTTGATAGATATGCTTTTGTTTTTATTGTTAATTTACGCTCACTTCACGTTAATGGCTTAAAATAGATAGGAAGCAAGTTCGTATAATATTCTTGTGTGAGTATAAACTGGGTCATAAAGTTGGTCGGAAATGACTCGTAATGTCAACGATGCATTTAGATAAGATACCACGAATAAACACTCGGTTAAAAAAATGTCAATTAAATCCGCCATTGGTCAATCGTAAGGATCCAATTCTTCTACGCGATAATATCCGATCACACGTCGCACAATCAACGTTACAAAAGTTGAACGAATTGGGTTATGTAACTCTGCTTCATCCAGATTATCACTTTTTCAAACATCTCGACCAGCCTACTTGCAAGGAAAGACGTTTACCAACCAAGCATCTGTTGATAATGCGTTCAGAGAATTCATCAATCCTAGAATATTAGAATTCTATGTTACAGGAATTAAAAATTGCTTGTCTATTGACAAACATGTGTAAATTGCAATGGATATTATTTTGATTAAAAAAACTTATTCCGATTCGAAATATGTGGATTTGAAGATAAAGTTTAATATCGACATTAATTACTTACCAACTTAATATTAACTGCATATATATTACGTGTTAAAGATTGGAGGCACGGGAAAATCGGTTGGAGTCAAGTTCTAAACAAAAGGGCCCCGGTTTTCAAATTTTCTGTTAAGGCTTCAACGACTTTGTTCTCTACGCAGACCATAGTTTACGACCTGCCCTACGCGCAATCTTCCATTAATTTTTATAGAATGTCTACACCTTTAAACTATTAATTGTAGAATTTAGTTTAAAAAATCTCTCATTGTGCGCGCAGTAAAGTGAAACATTGAAGTATACATTCGTCAAATGTAGAGAAAATGCATCTATGATATATTCTGTCGAAAAACTAAAGCAAAACGAATTTTGACCCGATAGATCTTTTTGTAACTATCTCTCGTGTGTGAAAATAACAATCAACAGGTGTTTTTGTATATTTTCCATCTTTGAATAAGGTATTAACCAATTAACTGATTTATAATGTATTTACCATCGTCTATAATAAATATTTAATTTAAATACATAAAATTAGTGAGAGTTTGATTTAATTTCATTGATAACCATATCCACTATTTATTCATTTATGTTTATCTCAAACTATATAATTCAATTTTTAAATCTATAAATGTTTCGTAATATTTGTTATCACATGTTATTAACCGTAGCTTAGTAAGTACAGTACAGATGTCATTGTCATTAGAAGGTGGTTTGATGATTAAACATTCCATTTTATTACATCGTTGCATTGCGATTGTAAAATAAGTACTGCGCGCGATACAATCCTGATTCTATCGTTGCTTCTTGCGTCCACCATTATTTCCTATGAAAAAGGAGACAGTAATGAGTATTCCACATACAACCGTTACCACAACTCTATTTATGTGGACTATTTGTTTCACGTGAATTTGTTTTACGAGAATGAAAATCGCTTAAATACAGTCTATCGGTACAGAAGAAAAGAAGATATTGGAAAGGAAAGCTGGTATGAATTTTAGAAATACATATTTATTTCACATAGTTTAACAAAAATAATATTAATGACATTTCAGAAAATAAAAGTAAATTTCATTCAGTGTCACTAAATTCAGATCGCATATCAACAACACACGTAACTAGTGTTATAATTTACCGCGTAAATGAAGGGATGGGTGTACATGCAATACTATCATTTAACAGAATCACAGATAAATCCTGTAGAAAATTGCTATACCTGTACAACATGAGAAAAAGAAAGAAGAAAACTCTACACTTTGGTATTCCTAAAATATGGCGCACGAACGACGTCGTTTATCAATTTGAAGGTTAGTAATCTAGAGTAAACAGCACAGCGTCGTCCTTTTATACTTTTACGAAAAATGGCAGATGATTTAAGCAAAAATCATGGTTGTAGAAAAAAATTTATATTTTGGTTAATCCTGAGTTAAAGTTAATTAAATTTTTATGCAAAACTATTTAATTACATATTAGATGTCCTTCATTACTAATAAAATAAATAATAAATTTACAAGATTTGTAAAGAAAAATTAAATATTAAAGAAAAATGTTCATGAAAATATGATGTATTGCTCCTGGAAATTTTCACAAATGTATAAAGGAGTGGTACGTGATACATCGGTATTAGGCATTCAAAGGATTAAAATTTCGAAGAAAAATGTATATTATACTGGGGATAGTTGCGTACGTAAAATGACAATTTAATATTCTACAGTAATTCTTAATTTTATTCGTTAAATTTATTGATTAAGCGTGAATTACTCCAGATGCATAATCTCTTATCGGAATTCTGGTAAGGTTAACTAAAAGATGATAGGAGAAACAAATCTACAAAGAAATTTGAGAATAAATGTTTATCAAACACAAATATCGCTATGGAAATTCTATTGTTGTCTAATTGAAAAAAGAATGTTCGTACATTTTATATGGATTCATATACTAAGATTTATTAGGACAGTAACGATGATTGCATTACAGTTCAGTAACTTATGGGTGAGATGATCGGCAAGAGCCTCAAAACAGAATAAGAAAATACATCCGCCGATAGCGGATACCGTAGTCGATGCTCAGATCAACGTTCTCGGTTTGCCCGGAGCACGACTACGATGCTTTTGAGTAGTTTTAACCGCAGGACAAAGTGTGAAGCGCCCCAGGCGCGACTTCGATAACACGCTGGATCTCAGTAACGTGCGTCGTGTAAGGATAAAACTTCATTTATTTTTATTTCCCTTTCGTTTTGTTTTCTGGATTCAGGAACTTGCTGCTAGGCCGCTCCTGAACTTCCTGCCTAATCACGGAGCGCTCGTTGAGTCATAAATCCCGAGAGGTTGAAGGTTTTTAGTAACTATTCAGCTAATTAAGTCGTCCTTGTACACATTGATCATTCTTAGAACGCATGAAAGTGTAGCGATATTCGCGAACCGAAGTGTTTCGTGGCAAATTATTTCTACGCAACGACAATCAAATATTTCCGTGGCTATATTCGAGAGCGCGTATGTACGTACAGTGATGCTCGCTTAAATTCCACAGAAATCTGCTCGGCTTAATTGCATTGCGCCATCCCTATTCTTCCTCCACTACTCACTGCTAGAGCTCAGTGTAACGTGATCCCAGTAGGCAGGGACAGAAAATGAATACAGTGAGAGAAATAGAGACAGGCACAGGTCAAAGAGATGCCACACGCGTTAAGTATAAACATACAATGAAGGAAATTTCAATTGCAAGAATTTTAACTTTACCTTCTCAATCGTGGTACAAATGGAATGTTGAGGTTCTTCTCATTAAAATGAGCGCAAACACGACGTAAATCGTTCTAGTTTTATTGATTTGGGGCAAATGAGCCTTTAATTTCGTTAATTACATTAAGTCGGTAAAACTAGTCTGATTTCCATCGTATTTGAATTTATTTTAATTACAAAAGTCTCAGAAATTCACTGGCACTACATTTGAGAAGGTAAGGTTGAAGTTACTGCAACTGAAATTTTCTTCACTGCATATTTACATTTGACGCGTGTGGCGTCGCTTTGAAGTACCGCGTCTCGACCTTCGATGCTCGACGGACTGTATCTATGCCACTTCCACTCACTATATTGATTCTTTGCCTTTGTCAGGCTGTGCTCGAGTCAATTCCTGAAAGCAAATAGCTTCCTCCTGTCTTTTTTTACTCGGTTAAATTCCCCTGCTGGGACCCGAAATCATGGTATTTAAGCGAGCGTTACTGCATATCGAATTTTGCTGCATTCAACGCTTAATTACTAATACAATCAACAGGTTAATTTCATCGGGCAATGGGCAACAAACTAATTTATCCGACGCGTCGCCGTAAATAAATACAAACACGAAATACAGTGCTGCACGAAAGGTACATACATACATAATTAGGTAGACTCAAGTTGGAACGACCAAAGCTACGACTTGCCATTCTGCTGTTTCAGTTAACTCCGTTATATCTGAGCTTATCGGTACGGAATAAAACGGTATAACTACGTATGTAGTGACAGCAGCTCGAACAGATTAGATATAACAGTATTTACAATGTGAATACTTACATGTAAGCATTTTATAGTGCCGATTTGGGTGTACAACTTCCTAATAGTGTTTCTGTCATTCTCATCTCTTATAGACAACATATAAATAACAATGAATGCAAGCTTTATAACTGCTCATATACATCGCACAGTCCGCCCCCTTTACTCTTTTCACACGCTCAATGACGTTCATAATCGTACTTACTTGCACAGTCACACTATCATTTATAAATTAATTCGAAACTCGGGAGAAATAGTCAACGTATTATAAACCTATTAAAGAATATTCACAGTAGTCTAACGTACACAATGACAGTATTGCTACCTATTCTTATGTATCACTGGATACACAGTGTTTGATATTGAATTCGCAAGAGTTCAATCTTCAATGTATTTCTTGGTAGATCGTTTCTTCCGCGGTTAACTCTCGAACGTTCACGATGGTCGTTTTCTTTTAGTCTTTTTTCTTTTTCTTTTATTTACTTATTTATTTTTTTTTGGTTTTATTTTTCTTTCCTTATCACCCGCGCATGTTTGCTTTCGTTACGCATCGCGTACTTTATCAACAAATTTCTCGACTGTTAGATGTCGTAATTGTAAAAACTACACCACTCTTGTTGCTGTTACGCTTGCCGCGATAAGCTCGAGAAAGTGGGCTTGGTTTTAGTTCGCAAGTTTATAGTTTGAAATAATTTTCTGGGAAAGTGGCGGATCTTTGTGCGATAAAGTTCTCCAGAACTATCGTTAACTCTGACGTTAATGACTTTCTGCCCAGCTGAAGCGGCACTGATGCATCTCTTGGTACAGCTTTGCTGACTCTTATGTCGAACGTTAAACATTTATCTTTCTCGATTGCGTCTTCAACAGATGATAGAATTTTGAATATAGAAATTTGTATAAAACATGTAACACATTACTCATTATATCGCATTATTACATGAGTTTTTCATTTGAAATTAAGATTTTTTCATTATTAACACTAAAACTACTGAGCAGTTAAATTGAATTTTTGAAATTCCTTTATAGACATTCCAAGAATGCATCTATTGAGACTTTAATTGGTTTACAATTTAGTTTTCGTATGGCTAACTCAATTTCCTTAAATAGGTTTTAGAGGAACATCTGTTATCTTTTTAATAATTTCAAAAGGAAGACATCAGGAACGGTTCATTTTGACCTGTCTGGTAATTTTAGTGTTAATAGTTATTGAAAATATCGTTCTTTGAGAGGTAACATTACACAGTTCTCAGTGAATATTTATTGTGTTATAAAATGAAAATGCTTTTATGGTTTTCATACCCTTTTTACGGAAAATTATTTCAAACTATTTTCGTGGTTGTCATTAAAACTGTTCTTATCTCGATCGGTCGTAAACGTCATTACGATGTCTTTAAATATTTTAATATCATTCTTTCGGATTGGCAACCATTTTCAAGACAATACATTTACCAAACATATATACTACCGTTCAAAAGTTCGGAGCATTAATTACTATTTGAATTACTTATTATTAAATAGCAATAGATTATTTTTCTACAAACGAAACATATGTTACGATCATAATGGTGAAATTTAACTGACTATAAACTGACTAATTTATAGTCAATTTTACTCATTCGCGCATCTGTTTATTTTATACTTTCACATTTAATGCCAATACTGTCTGAAACTTTTGTATCTACTAAAGCAAACATACTCGTTGTTTTTAAACAACTTTTAAAAGATAATAAAACTAAAATAAAGATAACAATTAGTTCCACTAAATAGCTAAAATTAAATAATTAAAAATAAAGTTAAAAAGAGTTTGATAAAATATGACTTATAAGTAAATAAGACATATTTTTGTAACAATAACTGATAATCGTTCGCTGACGGAAATCATGTCTGCGACATTGACTGTCAAAATGTTGAAACATACTTTGTTTTCAAATCGATAACATGCTCCGTACTTCTATACGCCAGTACATCTACACACATACTTCAATTAAATTCAGTTAATTACTTTTTCTCGCTGTATTCACATCGATTCTTGGTTACGACACTCTCTTCGATATTTAAACGTATCAAAACCTCGGCCGTAAAACGTTATCCTTATTAAATCCTTCGCGTTCGACCGGTTTCCCGTAACAGTTTGGCCGACTATTCATTTTTTTATGAATATCTATATTTTGTCGCGTATAATCAGACTTGTAGTATACGTTTTTCTAATCAACTAAGAAGGAATGGAAACATCACAGTCGTATAGAGGATGTAATAATAAATGTGTCCGTAGCGGATCGTGTATTTAGGAAGGCAAATTTTCGTGTCTTTTCGTTCATTGTACGTCTGACTTTCCAGTAATTCTTTGAACGGATAGGTTAGAGCGATTTAATAAATTCGTTTCCGTACAAGAAGAAAAAACATTAGTGATCCATCACTTTCGAATATTTCACGCTACAACAAATCATAGATATATCCTATGACCAGGGATGCGCTAGTAGTCCGATACATTGGGTACTCGTGTTTCGCGTTGGGTTGAAAAAGGTCGCGCGAGATCGTAAAAAAGCCAAGCATGTTTTACTACATACGAATGCTCAGGACCCTGAAACTTTCGAGTACACGAGATTCGATTTAAAACTCTGTTCTTGAGTGTTTAAAACGTGGCCATTAATACATCCTGCTTTTCTAGACAATTTAGTACTAGTTTGAAAAATGCAAGATCATTGTTATCAAAAATATTTGAAATAAAAATGAAAGGTAAGGTAGGGTTTATTCGAAGAAAATTAATTTCTCCAGAATTTATCATGTTCATTTTATACAGAAAAATATTTCGATAGTAACGAGAAGATACAAAAAGACAATAAAGACGATAAAGGTAATAAATAACAAATAAACAGTTTTTACAATATAACCAAATAAATCTCTTACAAATATTATTCTGTTGTGAAAAACAGTGTGAAAAACAGAAAAAGTGAAAATTTTTATGTCCATATTTGCATAGTGAATTAAAATTGTCTGGAAAAGCTGATACACCAATATCCATTTTATGAAAGCGATACGATTCATTTGAAACGCAAGCTGGAATCAAATGCCGAAATACAGTATTTCGAAATTTCGAAAAGTCGTAGGTAGGAAGAACTTCTGGGTATTCGTTCAATTCTACGCGACTTTTTCGGCCCCACGCGAATCTGAACTATCGGATACCCACGCATCCCTGACCTATTTCATATACAACACGCGTAATATTTTCTCTGTGCACGTGTTGGTGATATTAACACATTGTTGACCAGTCATCAGTTAACTCGTGTTTGCACTTGCATTAGCTATTTCAATTTTTGAAACACAGGGTAATATAGAAAATCACGAGAAAAAAATATTTAAAGTTATATAAAACATATGTCCAAAGTTTCATTTCAATTCGTTGTGTATAAATAAAGTATATTGAAATTTAACTACATTGTTTCACTTTTAAAATAGCCGGTCAACAATGTGTTAATTAAGTACACTAGTAGGGTGATCCTCGACTCGAAAACGAAAAAGGTTACGAAGATCTTTCAGTTAAGTGTACAGTATACTTTGGTCGGTTGTAAGCAAGTTCTTTTTCGTGTAAAAATGTCTTCGAAGAATTTGGAATAAATTTTGGAAAATAGATCTATTTGGTACGGTCGGCAAGGAATGAAAGAATAAGATCATGTTCTTAGTCGACCTAAGAACTCATGGAAACGTTAGGACTATTTGATAGGCAGTTATCGGAGTGACTGAAAAGAAGTGACATTATTCTTAAAGAATGTGAGCTTTCATTATATGTTTCTAATTTAATTTTATTAACAATCGATTGTAAAATGTGAAGGAAAGCTACGTAACAATCTACGAATAAACTTGTTTGAATTATATATTTTTTTTCGTAAGACATATTGCTATTATGAATAAATTATAGATTTAAGATGAAAACTGAGCGCTTTCGAGGTTAACGTGTTTTTCTCAAATCAAGTGTAAATACTAAAGAAATTGTATAATCTTTAGTATAAGGTGTTTACTTCAATATATATTCTGGAAGCTCGATCGTCCTTTAAATTTCCTTGTCGAGAATTTTCCCTTGGTAAGTTCGATTACTTTATTGCCAATATATTTCTCTATGGGGAGGTCGCAAGATGATGGAGATCGAACCGTCGTCATATCAGCGCATTAATGAGCCTAATAAATGAATTACGATGTTCCGTATGATCAGAAGATCGGCTTCGCTGTCCATTTTGGCAATTTTAATGACGCAAACAGTGTAGCCACTTTCCTCGGTGTATCAGATGATGGAAGATTTTGGTTGGCTCCAGCCCTCGAAGTTAGAGTTCGTTGTAAATTGAGCCAAGACCCGTTCAACTAGTTACTCATCGTGATTAAAGTGAAACTTGACCAAACAGCAGACTCGTGAGCAGCAACACCAATAACGATGCATCTGTAGCAAAAAATGAAGCAAGCAGATTTGTGATTACCTTGATATATCGACATGATGATGTTTCAAACAATTAGAAGTGTGCGAGAACATGAAAATATTGAGTCATGTAACTAGTGGTAAAACCATAGGGACTGGTTCTATGTTAAAAAATAAATCGTTAACATAAAATAACATTCGTTCATATGAGGCTTTGTTTTTAAAAAAATCGACTTTGAATATTTTCCGTGTACGCGTGTACTTGACTACAGCTCGTTATTGGATTTCACTGTAGATCATTGTCCCGATTGAAGTTTATATTGACAAAGACTACCAACGTCACGAAAATGTTTACATAAATTTTTATTATTACAGAAATTGTTGAAAATGTTGTCTATTCTGTCAAAAAAATAATTCTGCTCTTCCAATTAAACTTTTACGAACGCTTTTTAACGTAATCTGTTGTTTTAATGTATGAAACGCTATAATAAGTGGGGCGTGCGCTGATTTCCCTTGCCCTTATACACTTTTAGCTTGTGAATAGTCAGACAACACTTGGAAGGATTACTGTTGCATATTAAGGATAATAGGATAGTAAGTTAGATAAGAATGTTCAACGCTGGAAGTCTTTATCAGCATAAACTTCACTCGAGACAATGATGTACAGTAAGATTCAAAGCCGATTTTCTCGAAAACAAAGCTTCATATGAACAAATTTTATGGTACGTTTTCGACTTATTTTTTGACATAAAATGAGCCTCTATTCGGTTGTACCGGTATTTATGTGGAACCCTGTATATAAAGGATAAAATATGCAATCTAGTTATAATTACAGAAGTCTGGAGAAACCCTATTTTTTCGGAAAACCGGGACATTTTTGAAAACCCGATCTGATTTGACTCAATCTAACACCGCCGTTTTTTTTATAAGAAATAAAAACAAGAGTTTTCAACTGTTCGCTGGCTAAACCAAAACTAACAGGGATAAAACTGCAGAATAAAATTTTTAAACAGTTTTTCAAAAAGGTTGGGTGATCGGGATATTTTGAAAAATTTGAACTTTCTGTCAAACTTAATTTTATAGACGTAAAGGAACAATATTTTTTTGTTGAAACTTTTTCCCGTTAGGTCTTACTGTTCTCAAGATAATCCATAATATAGAAAAGAATTTCATTTTTTTCAAGGTGTGGTTTCACCCCTTCAAAATGAAATTCGGTATGAAAAAAATTGCAATGTATTAGGCTTGACTTACTTTACACAAAGATTCATAATTTTTTAAATTTCCGGGTTCGATACCTTTCCTTGTAAGTAAAAACGATGAAAAAAGTTTCCTTTATACACTTTATAATAGTTTGCAAGCAGATGTTATTTGTTTCGAAGGAAAAAATTTGTTTGTTAACACTAGAACTACCGAGCATTTAGTACGATTAATATGTAATCCCTATAAATATTGTAACAACAGATTAATTTCAGTTTCTTCAGACATTCATCACAGTATTCAAATGAAAAGATACATTTTTAAGATTATGTTTAATATTCAATGCTTTTAAGATATCAGTAATTGCGAAACAAAAATATTAAAACCAGTTGTTTTGAATGTTTACTTCTTGGTAGAATCATTCGTTATAGGAGACTTTATATAGAAACTTTCAATACGATTTTTAAAACAAGAAAATGTTGTTATGCATTGTTACTGGTTTTATACAGTTCCCTCTCATATTTATTTGCTACTCAAATTACTCTGAACAAGATTCCATTTCTTTCGAAATTTTTCACTGCCGAATTGTACATTTAATTGCTTGCTTGTTTAAAACAGAATGCTTTTTTCCTGCTACCGGTCCGATTGAAACCAGACGTCCGTATGAGTTTACAAGCGGTGAAAGAACATTTATATCCTCGTACCAATGTACAATGCGGTACGCTTTTACGACGAGAGAGGCATCGCAGCATTTCTCGTGTTGATCTGCATCCCAAACGACCTGCAGGGATTTTCGTTTTGCTATGACACAGCCATTGGAAAAATCCTGGAACCAGGTACTGCTCGAACATATACCTTGAAAGTAATTGCATTCGAAGGTACACGAAGGGAAACGGGACAGTCACGAATCGAGCAACAGCTTCTGTTTCATAATGAATCGGAACGTTACGTAACTCTGCGCGATTGTATCGTGGCAGATATAAATAGTAATATTCGTCAGGTAATGCAATCAGTAACATCGAATATTCTGTAGTTCTATGGATGCTGCAGCGAAGAAATTGCAATATTACCATCGACTTTATGTATATATGTATATATAAAGTTTCATGTGCAGCTTGTCCTAAAACAATGTAACCCAACCCAATCGTATTAATCGTGTTTGACGAGCACGCGAGTAATAATTGTCTTTATTTAGTTTCCGTGATGTATATATTTCCTTTTTCAGCCGGTTCAATTATCGGTCAGACACAATAGAAGAAAATTGAGCGGGATCCATTAATTACTTTCATGATCGATCAAATTCTGGGAGCTGATGCAGCTGCATTGTACTGTTTGCTTTCCTATTTGGGCTGTTCCTGTTGCAGCTGTTACGTAACCGTCACGTACTTTTCCTTTTAACCCTTTCGTCCCGAATGGTATACATAGGTACTACGAACATTTTAAATTACCGGAAAGCTAGAAAATGCCTTAACCAGTTAACTGTGTTCGATGAGTATACACGTCACCTTAAAACTTGAAATGATAGGGTAGATCAAGGCGAATAGGATCACGGGGTGAAACGGATAAAAATCAGAATATTGGCCACATTTTTTACGTTGTTATAGAAATCAGCTTGTTAACCGTCCATATTACTTCATACACCTTCTCTACACTTAATTCAATACATCTTCAATTGTTTCAAATCGTTGTTTGCCACCAGCACGTGTTAGAATCCAAGCGAACGCAACGAATTTTGTGGCTAGTCTAAAATAAGTTATTCGGAATTTCACATTTAAAATGGCAAGCTAAGCTTGGAAATTCAAATGTGTTGATTATTATTAGTCTCTAAGGTATCTAAATTCAGTATTTAATGTACTTTAGATTATTATATTGTATTTTATTTATTTATTGTATTCACTTTGAAATCCTTCGAAACAGAGTTATTCCCATCTCTGGTTTCCCTAATTTTTTTATATCTATGGTTATAAATATCATGATTATTTATATACGGGCGTATAAAGAAAAGACAAATCAGGGATGGTGGACCTCAGAAACAATAAAGAACACAATAATAAGAATTAACTTCAAAGAACCGACCATACGTCAAGCTCCGAAAATTTATCGCATACTTTGTACAACCCTACAAAGGACTTACTTGTTGAATAATTAAAAAAAAAACAATTTTATATTTGACATCACCTGTCAATGAAATGATACTTCTTGAAAAACAACAAAAGAAGTTAAGGACTAGGCCAAAAAGGACACTGTTAAAAGAAGGATGAAGACTAATAAGGACAGAGGAATTAATAACATTAATACAGGATCTTCCAGGGAATAATATTGCATTTATTACAATGAAAAATTTATCTATTCAGCATTCAAAGATTGGATTCAGTACAATCTTTGCGAAGAGTCGCGTTACGAAACCTGTGCTAATAGATGTAGTGTTAAAAGGTAGTATATTTGCGACAAACGTGTTAATAATTGATTTTACCATCATTAACTTGTACAATTTTGAATCAAACAAAAAATTTGTACGAAAAATTGAATTTATTGTTACATCTTCAAATGATCAGCGAAAAACTAATAGTTAAAACTTAGAATGACAATTTTTTTTATAAATTTGTTATTAATACACATTCAGTTTCAATATCAGTAAAAAACTTATTAAAAGAATGTAAAACTTTCGTTTTATAAGCAAAAAATTGAGAAGTGGGAAATATCCGATTCTCCTAAAAATCCCGGGCGATTCATCGATGAAAAAAATGTCGATATTTTAACCATTAGTTTTTTACTGTTAAATCTGAACTGAAATCTACCCTACTAATTCTTTCAACGATGAATTCTTTATTTTTTAAGATAAACATGCAATTCTTATTTGCTTTACTTTGGTTTTTCATTAAAATACACCCTACATACAGTCGTCTTGCATTTAACGAATAAACACTTCATTTTTTTATTTTATTCCCCGCAAAACGAGAGATTTTTCAAACTAAATTCCACAGTTAACAGGTTACAGATAAAGGAAAATTGTACCACACGAGGATCTTTACTTATAGCTGACAGCTTAAATGCTAATTATTATTATTATTAGTGCTTATCGTATTTCTTTCATTGAAAGCTTCAGTTTCATTTGAAAGCAACTGTTCTTGGCCCTTTCTTTGATATAAGGGAAAATATATATTCAGAGACGAAAGGGTTATTCTATTTATAAGATGTAAACTGCTTCTCCTTTACTATTTTCATTTTTTTTTATTTTGTCAACGATTTTATTTAGGAACTTCTTTTTAAATTATTAGAGAGACTTGTAATAAGAAATTATCATATAATTTTTAATAATAATTTTATGACATTGATGATAATCACAGTTAATAATAATCAAGAGTTTTATAACGGACGTCGCAATGGACTTCAAAGTCAACGCTTATGTGACTACAGTTTAAGCACAGTCAATCTAAAAGGTATTCATACCTAGTGATAATACTTGTAGCTATAAATTTCATTAGATTTATAAATGCGTTATACTCAAAAAAACTTTTTAAATAAATGCTTAAATTCTTTCTCCTGATATAAATTTATGACAATATAAATTATGCTCAATAACTTTAGCTTTTATGTTAATTAAATTTTTTAAAAATTTTATACAGTTAAGTGACTAGATACTTTTGTGAGTAACTGTATCTATATAAAAATAATTAAATCTTTCATCATTGCAAATGACTTTGTTTCAAAATTCTATTGGAGTGTTAATATATTACCTCACATTTCAATATATACTTCCATCTTAAAAAAAAGCAGCTTTATTTACGAAATATTTCTTACGGTTGTATTATTTGAAAATATTAAAA